AGGGAAAGAAACAGAGTAAGAAATAAAAAGTAAAAAACGGATTTAAAAAAGACACGAGAGCAGCCATGAAGGAATATTGGAATAGGTAACGTCAGAGAAAAAAGTGACATGAAAGAAAGGAAGGGAGAAGAAAAGAAATTAAGAATAAAAGACCAAGGAGAAGAAAGAACAGTGGAAAAGAAACAGACAGATAACAGTAGGGAATATATTTCATACTTCAGCTCTTTTATTAGTGAGCCATTAAACCAATGAGAATTCATCTTCCCATTTGAACCTTCCAAAAAATTCTTTATGGTACTGGGGATCTGACTATGCCCATCCTTCACCTGCTTTCCTAATTCTGAAGGACACACGAGACACCTGTTTCATGGGTGCCAAGCCCTAGGTCTTATCTGCCAGTAGCAGCAGTTACCAAAGACAGAGCTTGAATGTTAGTTCTGCTCCCAACTATCAAGGTTTAATTGCTACCTACGGTCATCACTTCAGCATTGCTACCAGAGCACCTTCCAGAAGTGGGGTCAAGAAATGTGACTGATTATCTGCTACATGTTGTCCTTTCCTTCTCTCTCTGCAAGGAGAAAAAGCAACAGGCAGGAATCTGAGGTGCTCACCTCTGCAGGACATACTGGCAACCAGCAAATCTGTAATGCAGCCCCATGAAATTGAGCTGAGCTACCTAGAAGGGTATTTACACAGCTTCACCCAGTGTGGAGCCACTGATGCCTGTGACAACTGATTAAATGCTCCTCGATCTTCTTCTTCTAAGCAGAAGGAAATGCAATAAGGAAACAACAGCACAAATTCTGAGAAGTAAATTAGCCCAAACCTCTGTGGAAATTAAGTAGTGAGATAACATTTAAACGCTCTGCAGGCCTTAGCAGAGAAAGGAGGAATTTTCCTCACAAACAAATCCACAGCCCACACAGTGTTGCTACTGAGAGAAAGATACGGGTTAAAAATCATAACTGAAATAAAGTTCAAACAACAGTGCCACGTCAAAAAGGAGGAAACAATTGTAATTTTCCTTATGCTACAGAAGACACATAATGGCTCGGAGAAGAACAACTGTCCTATTGCTTTGTGTTCACAGGGAGCTGTCCCTCACTGTGCCATCAGACTTTGCTGTATATGAGTGTCTGATTCACACAGTGGCTCAGCTGTAAACAAAGCCTGTCCTAGCTGAGCTGCATAACCTACAGAGGTCATGCCAATGACACCCTGACTTCTTCATGCATGCTTCCTGCCTGGCTCTGACACAAGTGGGCCCACGGTAGCCAGGAGGGGTAGGAGATGTCAGATGGGCACTACAGTGTGTGACTGGCAAAGCTTTCTAAATTAAATAGACTACCTTGGTATGTCACTGCAACTTCCCACCAACAAACGCCAAATCAGAGGAGACAGATTCCCTCAGACACTGAATGCTGCAGGGGCCTCTTGATCTATGGACACATTCCTTGTATTTGAAAATCTTCATACTTGGCCACTATTTCATGCTTTCTTGGCTGATGGAGCCAAGGTGGAGGTTATCCAGGGAGAGCTGCTTACACTATGCCAACTACTGAATTTTACCTCTTCTTGCTCTTTAGGTGCCAGAGGACGTAAGTAGCTCTCCTTGGCTGACCTTAAAGAAAAGCTGCCACTCACAGGAGAGCAAAATGCTGTGGCTGCCTTAAACTTCCTTCCTGAGTGAGGTCTAGATATTAGGAGGAAATGCTTTTCTCAAGGTAAGGATCTCAATGAATGCATTGACCATGGTCACTCCCATTTTATCATTCACTGTCATTCACTTGGAATTTCACCAGCAGAGTCAAGTGTTGCTCTGCAGTGTGGGCAAGCAAGCAGGCATTCTTCTATGGCTGGATTAGGGATAGTTCCATGTAAAAATTCTCATGGTTGTGGATCTAAAGGGACTCACAAGACTAAAAGTTATCAAGATTATTAAGACTGAAATACGTTAGGCTGCAGTTCTGGTAACATTTTTTAAGTTAGGAAAAAAATATCATCAGCCATTGCATATGTTCTTTCAATAAAAATGATGCCTCTGTGTAAATGAGATCAGCGTAGGCCTCTATATTCCTAATGTGCAACCAAGTTGACTTCAGTCCATTTACCATACATTTTTACATGTATCTACCCAAAATGACAATCCATTATGTCTACAGACTCTTTTATGCACAACCTCCCCATTCATGAAAAGCATGCCTTGTGAACACAATAAAGTAAATGCCATTCCTGCTTAGGGATGATTTCCTGAATTTGAAGAATTTGTTACTGTGCAGACCTAATTCCATAATACTGTACCTGCCAAGGAACTAGAAAGCAGATGGAACTGTGAGCTGGAAGATCTAATTAAACATATCAAAGATGCTCCTTTTGTGTCATTTTGCTCATTTGCTTTGTTCAAGGTCACTTCCAAACACACTTTCAAGTCCCTAGTGAGCCATGATGACTGCTAGATGAACAAAATCAGGATTTCAGTAATCACAAGAAAAATAAAAGTCATGAAAGTGCAGATGATTCTAGTCCCATCTATTTTGAGTCTCACTAGTTTTGCAGATCTTAAACATAGTGAATTTTTTAGTTCTATGCCAGGAGTATTTTGAATAGTTTTTGAAAATAGGCATATAAATGAGGATTGCAAGGAAGTTTTCTTACCTCACAAAACATAGGCAACTTTTTGGCAAAATCCACCACTCTTGTAATCGCTGGTGTGATAATTTTTGTAAACTGGCTGAAGGCTTCTAAATCCACTTTCCCACCTTCTGGGGCATTAACTATTGGTGCCTGCCCAATATCTTCTGGCTAAGGATATAAACAAAGATATTTAAAGGAACAATCTATCTTACAACAAGTATTTTATACTCTAAAAATCCTACCTGGCAATGGAAGATATGCTAAAATAAAAAACACTATTCACTTTATAAGTAAGGCCCATTATGCCACAAAATGTGAATTTGTTTGTAAGCCATGTGTGAAAGAGGTGACTGCACAGAAATATAGGTAACTGGCAGGCTGCTACCCATCCTGTGTGGGAAGCTGCATTTTTATGCACATGCCATTTCCTCCTTGTGCCTGCATCTGAATATTTGTGGATGTAGTGTGTGCACCTTCTGTTGAAAAATGTAGGCATGTTCTTGTTCCTTACAGGTGCTAAGAACTCCGAAGTTTCTCTAAAAGTGAATGAAGCTGAGGTGACTTGTTACCTCCAAGAAGATGCCAAAAAGCTTTGCAGAACTGGGTCCTTCTACCTAATCAAAGTGCTAAAAGCCTTATCAGAACAGATTGCTTGGTGTCACAGAGCTCCAGGCAACTGCCAAAGCCTATTTCCAACACTAGGCTAAAACAACTGATAACTAAGAACAGGCTAACATAAAGCTAGTCTGGATGAAGTGACTAGAATTTGAACTAGCCTGGGTTTCAAGAAAAATCTGCGATGAATCATAGAATCATAGAATGGCTAAGGTTGGAAGCGACCTTAAAGATCATCAGGTTCCAACCTCCCTGCTATGGGCAGGGACACCTCCCACTAGACCAGGCTGCACAAAGCCTTGTCCAACCTGGCCTTAAAACACCTCTTTTTATTCCAACTGCATTTCAACTTGTTAATCTGATTTTATGACAGTTTGTCAATGTTATTGCTGATTTTAAAAACACACATATCAAAGCTGTTCTGTTTGCTAAGTGTGGCTTTGCAGTTGTAAAAGACCTGCCAACCATCATGCAGAGGTTCCATTTTGTTCACATTAGAGAGTCAAAAACTGGATATGATCCAGAGAAGAAGGCCTTTAAGACTGATGGACTTAATGACATTTACATAAGGTCACTTAAACAGGGGAGGTGCTGAAAGTGCTGTAATAAAAACTTGCGCTCGGCAGTTTTTAAAGCAACACATCATGAAAGATCCTTCCTGAGCTCTGTCACCAATCTGAATACAAATCCAACTTCCTTCAAGAAAAAACTCAGCAATGCGTTAATGAAGCAAGTATCAATTGTAAGAGAACAATGAAGAGGACTGGGCTCAATTATCTGATGGTTCCTACTAAAAAACTCAAATAATCCCAGCCCTAGGCTCCCTCCCTCCCTGAATCTTGGGAAACTAAACCACATTGTCTGTGTGCTCATGATAAACAACCTTCATCACTTCCAAGCAAGAAGACCAAATGCTTATAACCATGCATAACGTTGTTAGGGAGAAAGAGAGGACACAGTATTTTCTTGGGAAAGCCCAAAGAAGTTGGCATCACTAGCTAAAGCTGCCACACTCCAGAACGGTGTGCAACTGGAGAGCCCTTGTCACCTAACTCACTTCACTAGAGAAGGAAATCCACACCTGAAAGGAGCTCCTGTTGTTGAAGAACCAGCCTCAGCTGCCTAAGGACTGACCCATAGCTCCTGAGGCATGCAGTCAGTTCCTCTTACTCTTCAACAGCTTCTGGCAGGAGCTTTCAAGGCTTTCCACCTAGGGCTGGCAGGCCACCCAGGACTTGCCCTTCTGTGCTCACTGGAAAGTGTCAGTGAGCTTCCTACAGTTGCCTTGGAACCAGTGGGCTTCAGCAGGTAAGCACTGCAAAGTCCAGGAGGCCCTGCAGCACAGGCTGCACTGAGAAGAAGCGCAGTCTAGCCCAGGAACCAGCTGTGGAAGTCACAGCTGGTTTCTGAACCATCCATTACGGCTGTCACCCCTACCTCTGCCCCATCCCTCCCCTCTCCCATCGCCTCATGCCCTGCCTTTGGGCATCCTTTGCTGGAGGCTTCCCCGTTGCTGTGACTGTCTCCAGAGCCTCAAGTCCCTCAAAAACCGCATTTTACTTGGCCCAGTTCCTACCAGCTTTCTGTCTGTGCCTTCATTCCCAGGCCAAACCTCAAGCTCCCCATGCTTTATCCCAAACCAGGTGATACTGAAAGAACAGCACTCCTGCTTAAGTAAGCAAATGCACCATTGCAGCAGCTCCTTGGTCTGCTAAAACCAGAGCACCACTGGAAAGTGCTCTGCTGCTTCTTGCCAGCGATCACTGGCTGTAGTTTCCCAACTGCACATGACTATGAGGGTGCAGCCATTCATATCGAAAGTTACACAGTGCCACTGGAATGAACAGAACATTATAAAAAGCATCAGCTGGTTTGAGTATATGATTTCTCTTGGCAATTTAACAATGAGGCGAGTTTCCTGCAGTAGAATTAGGCAGCAGGAATCCAAGCCTGAAGAAAAATGAATATTCTCTATCTGATTTGGTATACACAGACTGTTAAAGACCTCTATGTATTCCTGACATGCAGCCTATAATCTCTTTGTGCTAAGTGTTTTGCATTTTGCACTTACTTCCTTTCAGAATTGATTTAGAAAAATCAAATAAATCCTTTTCTAGGGCTGAGCATCACAAATGACCATTTATTTTCTGATCCTTAGTTACAGGCTGAATATTCATCATCTTGTAGTCTGCAATCCCAATGCCATAGTGTATTTATCATCCTGCTTTCATTTAAATTAATTTTGATTTGCCAAATTTATTTTAATGTGTTCACTTTGGAACAAGTAAGAAAAAACACAAGTTATTAATAAAAAATACCAGTTTTTACCTAAAACTTTACATGTGTTGCATAGTAGTCCCTGATAAAGGCAACTATCCCTAAGTATAATATATTAAAAAGACTGCTACTGCTGTTCACCAGGAGTAAAATTTTTTTCTACTTTTTCTGATTATAGCACATTAAAAGTATCCAGCTGGGTCAACCTCAGCTCAGCAACATGCTGTTTATCCCTTGAAATACATGGTCTGATCAAACACTGAGCTTCATCCAAGAATAAGCAAGCAGCAATTATAAATATTCTCCATTTTTCATGTATGCCAGTACACTGGCAGATAGAGCCTCTCTGGGTCTGCAGTGCTGGGAAGAGAGATCAGAAGAAAGGAAGAGCAAGTGCAAAAGTCTCCAATCCTTACCAGAAATTTCCTTTTCTGCTTCCAGTGGCTTCCCTGTGCATTGGTGGCCACATGTGCTTCTGTAACAATTTTGATGAGCTCCCATTCCTCATCTGTTGGCTCTGGTTTGTGACCAATGGTTTTCTGCAGCTCTTCCCGACGTCTCTTCTCTCGATTTTCTTCTATCAGCTTCCTCTTTGCCAACCGCTTGCTGTCATCCAACACCACTAACAGGGAAAAACATTCAAAAATGCTCTTTAAGGTTGACTGAACTTTGGTCTTTTCTATGCCTGAGGTACTAACGGATTACAAACACTGTAACTAATCAGTAAAGAAGTCTTTTGCTAAGACCCAGACTTGAGATAAATAGTTCTCTTATTTCTCCCTCCAAACGTCATTTTCTGAGAAGCCTGGACTGCAAAGAACAATTTATCCTTTTGGTAACATGATGAATAATACCATGGCCTTCAGTGCCTTATTACACCAATAAAACTAATACGTAAAAGCTTTGTGAAGACTCAGACAAAGTGCTCACATAACAGACTTGGAGTAATCCATGTTGGGAAAGAAGCACTTTTATTTTCTTTACAGGAGTGTGAACACACTCCTCTGAATTGTGCAGCATGTGTTCTTGCAAGCCAGTAGAAGGCAACATGGATTTAAGGAAGTAGGGGGGTACTTACTTACAGGAGGGTCAACTACCTGTTCCATGACTGGCTCAGAAACAATCTGCCTTCGGCTCTTTCCATTGGCCCTACAAATTGCATCACTTTGTAGCGCTTCCCTAGAGCCCCACTACTCCCAGTGATGCCAAACACAGGGCCCAGAGCTGCACATCTCTAACCACCTTTGCTGAAAGTTTTATCCTGTTTTCCATATAAACATGAAAAGGCTACTGCAGAGAATCACAGGATGGTTTAAAACAGCCTGGCACACTTCAGCGAAGGAGGACCATCCTGAGACGCTGCTGGCAGCAGCAGGTTGGAGCACCAACAGCCCTCCTTACACACTCTGCTCACACATTTTCAACTCAAAGGTGGGGGGACACCCCGCTGGAGGTTGGGGACAGCTGTCCCACCTGCTGTGCATAGTGACTGCTCATTTGGTGTGTAAGCAGGTGTGGTCTTGGTATTGGCACCTGCTAGTCAGAACCAGACTTGGAGGAATGTCTGGCTCTGCGCAGCCGCTGCCTGGGTGATGCTGATCACTGCCTGCTGCACCAGACCCAGCTGGCTGTGAACTGCTGACCCTGAGATATCCACTCCCTCCCTCTCTTGGAGGTCCATCTGGCTAAAATAACATTGTGTCATTTCTTCTATTTCCCTTTAGACAGAAGATGTTGTTATACATTACATTACCAATGAAAAATACCAAGTTAGAATATCTTTCTGTTGTTTATTGGGCCTGTTTTCCTGTCAGTTTTTTCTGCAGAGGATTACGCTGGCAACGACCATTAACATTAATGCACAGGGGGATTTACATGAGTTCCTCCCATTTGCACTAATTGACGTTATCTGTGTAAATCCCTGTGCAACGGCAGGAAAAGAAGACCCCTAAGGGTTAATCTTACAGCCATATGTTCTAATTCTTTAGAATGAGAGTTGACTTCTTTGCAGTAGATAACTTCTTCAGGGCTAAAAATAAAACAAGCAACTGCAGGATGACTCATACAACAACATTCAATTTCACATCCTCCAGAATTTTCTAAACAAGATGTTTTTTTCACAAGCAAAGTGTCCATCCAGATGCATTCTCCCCCCTCCTCTGAAGATTCAACATTCCTGCTCAGCCCAGGAAGGCCAGGAGGAGGTGCAGTCTGGTGAAGGATAAACAAAACATTACAGCTTTACAGAAGTGGTTTGATACAATGAGCATAATTATCTGGTATAAATTATTAAAAACAAAGAAGTGCTGCCAGTTCTGCTCTTCTTCAACAATCTTCACCAATCAACATACTTTAACCAAACACACATATTAGGGGAAAGGAAAAAAGATAAAAAAAAGAAAAACAGAAAAATATACTTACAATCTGTTGCCATGCCAACAAAGATACATTTTTTGAAGCGACATTCCTGGCACTGATTTCTTGTTACTTTGTCTATCACACATTTTCCTTCATATTTACAGGAATAGGTTGGATGGAGGTTTTTCTGAATGGTTCTTCTAAAAAAACCCTAAGTGCAATAAATACATTGCAAAGCATTAGCATTGTGCAGCTTTTTCAGACAGGGAGCCACTTTGGTTTATTAGGAATGTAACCTAAGTAGGCAAGATAACATACTTAATTCCATGACACTCTCAAAAAGGAAAAGAAAAAAACAGTTTCATAGTATATGGCATTTATTTTCTGAGTTTCATGAAACATTTCCTCCCTAAAAATTAAAAAAAAAATAGACATCTTAGGGAAGTAAAGGTATATGTAAGGATGTCTTGAGGGACACATATTGTCTACATAAGTCTTATGTTTCTCTGTGTTATTTTTTATTTGAACTAGAGAGTTTATTTTGAGCCTCTTTCTAAATTTCATATTAATTTCAAGGGATATTAAGAAGCAAATGTATACTTTTAATTTAAGAGCAGTCTCTGCAAATGATAAGACCAGTGCTGTGTATGTGCTACTAAAGGATTAAGAATAAACAGTTCTGCTCCTTTCTTTTCATCCAAGCCTAATAACCAACAAAACAAATCTGAGCAAGATAAAGAATTTTGCAAGCTCAATTTACACAACCTTTTGAGTTTGGGTCTGAACAATGGACCCATAATTTTAAAATTGTCTGTTTTTCTGAGAAGAGGATTTATTTCGTATTAACCACAGACCTCAGTATTCCACACAAACATCACCAATAAAGATCCCTCCCTCCCTTCCTTAGTATAGATCTATATTTACAATTGCAACATGGATACAAAGTCAGAACCTGAGCTCATGCAAACTAATGTAGCTCCACTGAATTCACTGATTTATATACTCCATAGCCTTATGTAAAGAAATGAGACAGAACTCCTAACATTATGGATCTAATCCTAGAACTAATTTCACTAAAACTTATCTCATTGACTTCCACAAGAAATGGATAAACTTCCCAGGACAAGAAGGTATAGACTAGATAGGCTGCAAAGCAAGAAACTAAGACTTCTCTTTAATTTCAAGTGTCACTGCTGTTTTAGACTGCCTACATTCAGCAATGCAGCTTGGGACCACCTTGACATAGAGAACACACTGGGACTCTAGTCCTGTTTGACGCCACTGAGAATGGCTTTGGTTTCAGTAAAAACAACATGCAAAATTCAAGTGAGATTTCACCTCTTCAGATAGGATTTTATCTACTGAATAGTCTCTTCACTTCACTAGGCAAAAGGTCTGGTTTTGATCATGGTAAATAACATCCAGTAAAATCTTACAGCAGTGTGTGATTTCTTTTAATAGAGCCTGTTGAACTAAGATGTATGGATTAGTCTGCATTTCAGTTTGAGCTCCTAACTCCAGTGAGGCTAATAAAGAGCCTTGTCCTCATTAGTTTTATCTTAGAAGATCCTGCTCCAGCTAAGGGTACAACTCTTTCTTCCTTAATAATGCTAAGGCCTCAAATCTCCATTAAACTGAGTTACATAAAGTGTGAGCCTTTGCAAGACTGGGATCTGTTAGGTTGAGCCAAAATCCAGGAAATCACAGGCAAGATGTCCTTACATGGGGTTGGGATCAGGTCTCATACTCTCATCTACCCAACAACTGGATTTGGATCCACTTTCAGCCCTCTGACAAATTCCTAGAGACAGGACCTGTCCCTTTCCTCCCCAAAGACTGAAGATGGCTCTGGACAACCAGGGACACCAGGTTTTAACTGAGGTTGACAACTTCTAGTTACAGCTAGAAATGGAAAAATCTCTGATGACTCTCAGGAAGTGGTACTCAACTTCTGTTTCCCAAACCTTGCATGGGACTTAACACAGCTCTAGCTTTACAATGGCAAGGCTCTTCACCACCTGTGTTCGGACCAGCATGTTTCATCTTTGCGTTTCTCAGAAACTTGTTGCAAAAAACCAGTTTGATCATCTCTAGATACAATGTGATAAGGAAGCTGCTCTCTTTTTGTCCAAACCCTTCATCACAGAAGTATTATTTTCATCCATAAAAGCAAGTAAATTTTATGGTAAGGCATCCATTATTTTCTTGAATCTCTTTATTATGCACGTATATAGCAACAGATGCAACAGCTAATGTGCAGAGAAAAATTTCAGTGACCTCAGAACTCACTATTGGTTCATTTATGTTTAAATTCCTTCAGTTTTCTCTTCAGAAATCATGTTTGAGGATGTTTTGTTCATAAAAGCAGTTGCCAAAGCAAATTTTCAGCTGCCAGCCCTGATTAATGTTGTTACAAAGTTAAGTGATTTTGAGTGGAAGCAACTCGTAAATGTCAAATTCATTGAGAATTGATTACATATAACTTTGCTGATAAATCATACAACTTGAAGAGCATATGCAGATCCTCCAAAGCATGGGTTGAAAATGTCTACACAAAACCCCCCATCTTGCGCAATCAGTAAATTTGCAAGAACAACAACAAATCAAAACAAAACTGTCTGTGTGTAAGTCAGAAAAATAAATCTATTACTTTTTGCAAATTGTTAGCTCAGTTCCTTGTGCACATAGAAATTATTTTAAATTGTGCATCAGACAGAAGAACTGTATCTGAAGATAAATATTTTGTATGCTGTACCTTTAAAATAGCTGGTAGGCATAAAAAGAAATACTTCAGTTGGAGTAACAAAAATCTTAGTAGGAAAGTTGGCAAGAGATATAGCTATTCACCGGGGAGAAAAAGATATTTCATAAGGCCACAGTGTCTCTTGCTTCTCATTATATCTGAATTAAGTCATATTCATAAATGTTACGTATTCTTATAATCTGGTGTATAGGATGCACTTCTCAACATCACATTTTTTTCAGATACAAATATTTTTTCACGTGTTACGCATGTATGCCTATAAAACCATTAATAATATTACCACAAACCTGCTATACATAGGATATTTAGGTCTCTGTGCATTTCATAAATGTAATTTAAGGCAATGCTGTACAATTAGGGGAACTACTCCAACACTAGAATTACTGTGATGTGGGACTCCAAAGCCAATCCAAACCCAAAATCTCAGATCCAAATATTACAGACTTTGGGGATGAACAGAACATTACTTCTGTGGCTTAGTCTCATGACACTGGTCTAGGAAATGAGTGGTCCCATTTGTTCAGAAAAACATGATTTTTTTATTTATTTATTTTCTGCAGGAAATGGTGGTTTTCTTACAGGATCTCAGGCTATTAAGGCAAATTTATGGCAGTGAAATCATGTAAGATATGCCTGATTCTGTTACTGTTTTTTAAATTTATTTACTTGCCCAAAGCAATCACTTTTTAAATTTTCCATGTAGTTTTGGAGATGCAATTTAGGGCTGAAAGCACACTTCAATATGCTTAAGAGGTCAAAATCTTTTTTAAACTATTTTAACTGGGTGTCAATGCTTCCCAAAGTGATGGATGTTATCGTTGTAAGAGCATGTGGAAGGGATTTTGATTTTTGCTTCTTCACAGTGATGGTGAGAGGCACTGGAACACTGTAAATGGCTACAGACTCTTCATGGCCATAGGTAGAATCTCAGCTATTGCATAAACAGCTTCACTGAAGTTGCTGGGAGTATGCTGATGTACACTGAGAGCATGGCCAAAGAAACATTAAAAAATGGAAATGTAAAAGCTAACAGTTAAACAGCTACAACAAAAATCTGAATTTCTCATTTTCCTTTCAAAAGCAAACACTGCAAAACCCAACTATATTCCTTATGCATATGAAGAGCAGAGCGGCATAGCCAGATACAGCTTATCATCAGTACTGGATGTTCTTCTTCGCTTCTAATCTGTCTTTGTTTTATTTGAAGCACAGTTCAGGAAGTCTGTATAATGGAGGAGCTGGAGAGCTATTTCTGATTCCCACTTTCCCACCGTGCCATTTACCTTGCAACCTTCGCAAGTGATGCAGCGATAATGATATCCGGTGGCTTTGTCCCCACATACTACACAGAGCTCATCCTTGTCTAAGTAACTGGGTATATACCCTGAAAAGAAAAAGAGAATGTGGCATGTAAACTCAGTATAAAATTACATGATATGTTCAATATAAAAATATCATATTAAAATCCACTGCAGATCTTGTCTACCAGCCCTATACTTCTGAACTTACTGAATTTCCTGAATAAAAAGCTCATACGACATTACGGACTTATTTAACTTTAGTCTATAATATCTTTTGCCTTTCAGACTCTTTCAGAACTTACTGGTCAAGAGGAAGAAGTCAGAAGATGATTGCTCTCATCACATTTCTGAGGTAATAAAATACTACCTCAAAAAAATAAAGATATTTATTTCTACCTCAAAGGTTTTGACATGAAAAAATGAAATAACAGTGAGACAGACAATAAACTTCTCTTTTCTGTTGCATGAAAAAAGCCAATATACTTGTATACTGAAGATGAGATCCCAGGTTTCAGGGTGACTGAAACCAGGTGACTCAGGAACCTGGTCAGAAGAAGTATTTATTGAGAGATCATTTGTTTCAAAACAGCTCTGCAGGTGTGGTTAGAGAAGCACCAGCAACAAACAGCCCCTGCTGTCTTGACCATATCTTACCTGGGCTTGTTCTGCAGGAACATTTAATATAGTGTGAATTTAGGGAAAAATACATGAGCATTCAAATCTCTGTGTATGTACATGCACGTGTTAGAATCAAATTTTCTCTTCTGAAGTGGTTTACCAGACACCCAACCTGTGAAATCAAATATTGCTGCTATGAAAAACATTGTCAAGGCTTAGTTCTTCTCCCACAATGACATTTGTTGTGATAACATAAACGTATTTTCAATTTGAGCCAACACCCAAAACAATTCTGATGGCAATCAAGAAGTAATTCTAAACTAAAGACAACTTTGAAACAGAATAAGATACAAACCTTTCAAAATATGTTTCCACAACTCATAATTAATGGAGTCATGGTAAAACTTTTCCTTCTGAAAAATCTCTCTGCAAAGATGTAACACAGAGATCTCGGACTCACTTTGACGGGAGAGAGGAAAGTGCAGTGATTTGTGTAACTATGTCATATTATTAAAGTGCAGTAAATATTTCCAAGATTCCTGGAATGGCTGAGGTTGTTAAGGCAACTCTGGAGGTCATCTGGTCCAACTGCCCTGCTCTAGCAGGGCCACTTACAGACAGCTGCCCAAGACATGCCCAGCTGGCTTTTGAGTATCTTCAAGGATGGAGACTCCACAACCTCTCTGGGCAACCTGTGCCCAGGCTTGGTCACTCTCACAGTGAAAAGAAAATATTATTTTCTGTGTTCAGAAATAATTCCCTCTATTTCTATTTGTGCCCATTGCCTCTTGTGCTGTCACTGGGCACCACTGAGAAGAGTTTGGTTCTGTCTTCTGCCTGATGGGGGATCAGGTATTCATACACATTGCTAAGACCTTCCTTGAGCCTTCTCTGCTCTAACAGACCCAGCTCTCTCAGTTTCTCTTCATAGAACAGATGCTCCAGTCCCTTCACCATCTTTGTGGCCCTTTTCTGGACTCACTTCAGTATACCCTTCTTGTACTGGGAAGCCCAGAACTGGACCTGACACTGCAGACGTTTCACCAGAGCTGAGCAGAGGGCAAGGATCACCTCCGTCATCCTGCTGATGATAATTTTCCTAATGCAGACCAGGATGCCACTGACCTTCCTTGTCTCAGACACACTGCTGGCTCACACTCAACTTGCTGCCCACCAGGAACCTCCAAGTACTAAAATGCAAAGCAATTTCTAGCCAGTCAGCACCCAGCTTGTAGTGCTGCATTTATTATTATCCCCAGTGCAGAATTTGGCATTTCTGTTTGATGAACTTCAAGAGATTACTCTTATCCTATTTCTCCAGCCTGCCTAGGTTGCTCTGAATGGCAGCACATCCATCTGCTGCACCAGTCACTTCTCCCAGTTCTCCATCACCCTCCAACTGGCTGAGTGCAATTCATGAGTTCAGTAAGGGAAGAGCCATTTGGATGTGGCTGCCTGTAATGTCATCAATTCCACTAACTTGCTGAACCCATCTGTAGCATCACACGTTAGACTGGACTCCAAGCTTGCTGTCTTTGTGCAGCCCTCACACCTGTATGGCTTGGTACAGCTTGGGGACTTGGCATACACTGTCACGTTGAGGGCAACCAGCAGCAAGGTTCAGGCAGCAGAAGGCTGTTGGATACCGCAAGACAGCAGCGAGGGGACAACATTATTTTCCAGTTACTAACAAGCCAGAGGGTCAGCTCACTAACAGACATCTTAAATGAAAGTCCCTTCCTTGGACTACACTTGCCAGACATTCTCTGGAAATAAAAGCCCACATCACAGAAATAAAAAGAAAATACTAACTATCCCAAGCTAACCGAGCTTAAAATACTTCAACTTTTCAGAGGCTGATGAGTAGATTAGGAGAAAGTAAAGACGGGAGAAAGTATTGCTACGGTCTACTTTTATGTCTATTTTGAGCATAATCACAAAAACCTACAATTCTAGAGAGAATTATATCCCTCTTACACAATGCTGGGAAGCAGGAGCACTTGGAAGCCATGCCCAGGTATCTGCATCTCATGTTTGTCAATAGTTCTACCGACACCAGAAAGGGGAGTGGGGGAAGAAGCAGAGAACTTACTGACATATCATACCAGTCTACAATATGGCAAAAGATCAGAGTCATATTCAGGTTATGTTTCTCCATTATGAACAAGTTGCATTTAAATAAAGACTGGTGGACACGTGGAGCTGGTTCTGTGACCTTGAGCGAAAAGAGACAGCAGGGTTTCGACTCTAATTTACATCACTGACTCCTAACGGACATTATGCTAGTGGGGGATTAGCAGAAGCTATTATCTCCATCCTGCCCCCTTTTTCTTACACCTGCCTCTGCACATGCAACGCATACACAACACAAAGCTGATACCAGAGGGAGCAGTCAGCAAAAGGATGCAGAATTTTCCACTAAATTTCTGGTAAAGATTAATGGCTTCTTGTTGTTGCTGGTTACTGCAGAGCTCGTGCAGCATAGACTATGTCCTCTAAAATTCAGTATCCCTGGTTTGCTTCCTCTAGAATTACTTCTGAATTAAATGCCTTGATATTTCATTAAGTATATAATCTGGTTAGCACTGCTCATGTAATGGCAGCTTTGTTCTATTGGAGGAGCAGGAGACCACTTGCCTAAACCGCTTCCTTAAATATATACAGTAGCCCGCACATGTGACCACTGGTGTCCACCTCCTTCCAGGACTTTATCCAACCTAGGAAACAGTCTCCAATCTGGCATGGAAAACAAACCTTTTGCCAGGCACTCCTAGTCAGAAATTAAAAATGGCATCCTCACATGCAACCACATTCCCAATCCTGCTGCATCGAAAGCATTAAGTGCCACCTATTTAAGCTACCTAAATGTTATGTTTATCACTTTTGCAGGATTTTGTCCACATCACAAGGTAAGCACACACTTTGAACTCTTCTACTGATTCAACAGGAAACATGAATAGAAAAATGGCACCCCAAGAAATAATAAGCAATAAAAGCGTGCAATGAACATATTTTTTTCTGTTACAAATCTGAGACTGATATCCACACTTCTTTATGTCTTTAATCCTCCTTCTGACAGCCAGTGGGGTCAGAAACTACTAACAAGCAGGAAAATTTGACCTTTAACTGTATTTGAAAAAGATACAATGCAGAAAACCAGACATAATTCCAAGAGAAATAAGGGGAATTACCTTCAGTTCTGAAAAACCATCATGTCCACTGTAAATAATTTATAGTAGTTGCAAATATCCAGCCCAACCTCTGTAAATACTCAATGCAATTTCACTTGTAAGATGTGGAGATAAGCACAGTGCATTTTTTGCTGCTATTCAGGGTTAGAAACAGTATCAGCAGTAGGAAATTAGCCAACTTTTTCTAAACTTGGTAGCAAATACTGCAATGGCACCTCTTCGGGAAGCTGTGGATGGCTGTGGAGTTGTGTGCTAGATGGTTTGAGGAACAAGCAGAGCAACAGACTTCTTTCAGTCTTTGGAACATTTGGGGAAAACAGAGGAGGGGAAGACTAACAGGGATCTGTCCCTCACATCAGCAAGTAACCTGGCACCTGATGTGTTTAGTAACTTCGAACTGAAAAAAATACTCCAATGTGGAAGAAGATGCTGTCTGGACAGAATAATCCAGATGCTCTCTGACAAAAGAAGAATGTCTGATAATAAGTCTCATGGGAACACAGGACAGGTTCCTACCTCTGATGTCCATACTTCATCCTGTATTTCTTGGTCAAAACCTACTAAGTAAATAGCCAAGAGCAACCATTCAAAAGCAACACCAATCTCACTGAACTGTGTAATAACCACCAGTATTGTTCCTTGGTCTTTCAGGCCTCTGGCTGCTGATTCTAGCATCCTCATGGGCCACCATTTGGTGCATCCTGTATGATACTCAGAGTTACTTATGTGTCAAGTACGACAATTCATTTCAATACCAACTTTGGATCTTTCAGTGAAGAATAGCAAACAATGACCTTGACCTGCCATGTCTGGTGTTCCCCCTGCAACGTAAAGTAACTCCTTTGCTTCCCAGACTCCCACCTGCCAGTCTGCCTAATCTTACTGTCTTGGCAAGGCTAAGTACTCAGCAGGACCAGTTGCCCCTATCCTAGGAGAACATGTTGTATAATCCATTGTAACCAATCTTGATAGTGATTTACAGTATCTTTTAAATTATAAATGTGGCCTGTAGCACCCTTTGTAGGGGTATGGCAAGAAAAAACTCCCTTCCACTGGAAAATGTGTGATGAGTTTGCCTGAGCAACCCTAAGAACAGAAAGAGATCAACTAACCTATGAAGTCATCTGAGGTGCTCTGTTGCATTAACACTGTATGCCTACAATCTCAAATTACCTTTCGCAGGAATGATACCTTAGAGCAGTATAGGTGACCCTCAGTAACAGCTAGGAGAGACACAAATTAGGCACTCAGTGGCTGTTCTTGCCCAGAGCTTC